AAGAGAGAACCCAAGCAGGCTCCATACTGCCAGCATGGAGCCCAATGTAGGACTCAGTGTGGGATTAGAACTCACGAACTGTGAGATCATGACCTGAGCGAAAACCGAGTCAGACACTTAACTGAGCCACCCAGGCGCCCCTATTTTCTAATTAAATGTTACATATTTTAGAAATTTGTGCTTTTTAGGTTTTTTGACCAGTTCAGGAATATCTCTGAAGCACTAATGGATTACTTCAGAATTTTTCAGAATTACTTCAGAATTAAAAAGATAATGAACTCAGTAAAATAGGAAGTATATTTCACTATTCTGTTGGAAAGTAAGCAATTTCCCTAAATGCATGGCTTGGCCTTTTCATGCTGGATTATTTATATTTGATCCCCATTGCTGTCTGGATTCAGTGATTGAAGAATCTTTAGCAAATCATTATAACATTAAAGTTATCACACAGAAACCTAAAACATCAGAAGGAAGAGCTGGGAGGGCTTAGAAGATCCCTAAAATCCTCTAAAGACACATGACTTACTGAGGCCGACAGAGTTACTTGCCTAGGATTGCTTGACCTTTGGGTGCTTGGTATTTAAATTTTGTTTTTAATGTTTATTCATTTTTTGAGGGACAGAGCATGAGCAGGAGAGGAGCAGAGAGAGAGGGAAACACAGAATCCAAAGCAGGCTCCAGACTCTGAGCTGTCAGCACAGACCCCAGTGTGGAGCTTGAACCTACAAACTGTGAGATCACGACCTGAGCCAAAGTTGGATGTTTACTTAACTGACTGAAGCGTCCCTGGGTGCTTGGTATTTTGATTCTCTAGTACATTTGTACTTTCCTCAAGTTCATTTTCCTCTGCCAACTGTTTTCACCACTACAGTTTACAGCATATAACTAGCTAATAGTTAAAGGTTTTGCTATGTTTAATTGTACCATTTTAAAAAGGATACTTAGGCTTTCATCATGTAATACATTTATTGAGCACTTAATACTAGCTAACATTTACACAGTGCTTACCATGAGTCTGACATTTTACTTTTTTGAACTTAAAGTATAATTTACATACACAGATCTTAAGTCCTTCATGAATTTTTATATACCAGTGTCAGTTCAAGGTATAGACTATCCCTTAACCCTCTAGAATAGAAGTAGCAAATACTTTAGGTTTTATGGGCCATTTACTCTTTGTTGCGACTACTCAACTCTGCCATTGTAGAATGAAAACCGATGAAGAAACCCATAAACGGATGAAGGTGATAGTATTCCAGTAAAACTTTATTTAGCGAGGTTTGACCATGAATTATAGTTTGTTGTACTCTGCCCTAAAAGACTCTCAGGCAGACATTTTGCATTAAACCTTCCCAGTGACCATCTGTAGGTATTATTTTTTTATAGCTTTATTGATACCTAATTGACAATACAACAAACTGTACAATTTGATGTTTGACATGTAAACAGTAGTGAAACATCACTATGATCAAGATTGCAAAAGTATTTCCGAACCTGTCTCGCTGCCTTGCCCGAGATAATCACTGATGGGCTTCCTCTTACTAAGTCACTATAGTTTTTATTTTTAAGGATTTGATATAAATGCATTCATATAGTATTACCTATTCCCTCTCTGGTCTAGTTTCTTTCACTTAGCTTAATTATTTTGAGATTCATCTATTTTGTTATTTTCATCCATAATCTATTCCTTTCCTTTCTGTTGTTATATTCCTTTCTGTTGGTATATTGTATGAATATACCATATTTTATCGATTACCATTTTCGACTATTAAAAATAAAGCACCTATGAGCATTCATGAACATGACTTTGTGTAGACATGTGCTTTCATTTTGTTTGAGCAAATACCTAGGAGTAGAATGTGTTGGTTGTATGGTAGGTATATATTTAAATTTTGAAGAAACTGTCAAATCGTTTCCCAAATGGATGTACTATTCTAGATTCTTATTCTTACCAGTAGTATGTAAGAGTTCTGATTGCTCCATTTCTTCACCAATACTTGGTAAAACCAGACTTTTAATTTTAGCCATTCTCATAGGCATGAAGGGGAAGCTGGTTATGATTTAAAAATTTATTTTTCTTTTTAATTTTTTAGAGAGAGCGTGAGCAGAGACGAGGGGCAGGGAGAGAGAGTCAGAGAAAATCTTAAGCAGACTATATGTTTAGCACCGAACCTGGTATGGGGCTCAATCCCACAACCCTGAGTGAAATCAAGAGTCAGATGCTCAACCGACTGAGCCACCCAGGCACCCTAGTTATGATTTAAATTTGCATTTCTCCAGTAATTAATGATGCTAGGCATCTTTTCCTTTGCTTGTCATTGTATGCATTCTTTGCTAAAGCATCTGTTCCAGTCTTTTGCTTACTTTATTAATTAGATTTTTTATCTTCGTACTCTGGAGTTTGGAGGGTATAAGTCCTTTACCAGATAGAGGGTTTGCATTTTTTTCTCCCAGTTTGTACTTTTCCTTTTCATTTGCTTAATAGTATAATTGACACTATTTTGAATTGCCATATAGTGTGGTTTTTAGAAAGGACACTCTGAGACTATCAGAGAGTTTTGAATACTAACCTTGGAACCTAGGGAAAGTAACCTGATTATTTCGTTTTTTTCTTTTAAAGATTTTTTTTTTTAATGTTTATTTATTTTTGAGAGACTGAACATGAGTGGGGGAGGAGCAGAGAGGGAGACACAGAATCCAAAGCAGGCTTCATCCAGGCTCTGAGCTGTCAGCACAGAGCCCGATGCGGGGCTCGAACTCATGAACCGTGAGATCATGACCTGAGCCAAGTCAGACGCTTAACCGACTGAGCCACCCAGGTGCGCCAGTAATCTGATATTTCTAATCCACAGGTCCATCTCGAAAATTCCTTGTCATAACATTTCTGATTTTCTTATATTTTATCAGAAAGTTTATGTGAATACAAATTTGTATATGACTTAGTATGATTGGTTGAAAGAAATCTTTTTAGGGATTTATAGATGATTCAGTAAACAAAGCAACACTCACTAAAGCTTAATCGTTCTTTATTACTTCTGGATTTCTATACTTTTACTAGTTTGGCACCCTACCCTCTTTTCTAAATTGAAGGGATAGTTCTAAAGAGTACTTTCTTATAATATGAAATAATCATGTAATCTGGACTATCTTAATGAGGCTAATTTCCTTTTTTGCCATAGTCATTTTATATTTAATAATTAAGTTTTATAAAAACAAAGATTGATAATATGTGTTCTCTAGTTAAAATTGAACTCAGAACCACTTTAATGCATCTACATAGTCTTTTTGCAGATTAGTGATATTGACTTTGATCAGTTGGTATATCCTCTGTGAACATGCTGTGTGTAGTTATGAAGTATAAGTTTAAGGAAAAGGTACAATGTTAATTTCTTATAACTGTCAGCATTGTGATCCAGTAACTATATAGTTGGCTGGGCAGATTTACATTACCAGTAAAATATAAATATGATAGTGGGGTTTCATATGTGACTGTTATAATAAAGTTCAGACATCTGAACTGTCATAGTACAACTTCAGGTAAGCCCATATGAGGAGTTACGACAAACCACAAATGAACTTCAGGTTTATCCATTTAAGCTTGCCTGTTGTGTTCTTTTCCCATTATTTCATTAAGCAATATCTAACATTGTATGATGCTCTAGTAGAATTTGGAGGAGAAAGAAAATATTTTTTGTGGGCAGCTTTGCATTTGTTACTATCAAGGAAATGTAGATAAAGTGTTTTTTCATCATATGTTTTAACAGGAAAGTGTCCTGTCAGCTTTGTTTTTATCATTGATCAGAGTTTCACATCTTCGATTTACATTGATTGCCAGTCATATTTCCTTAGTACTCTAGTCAGTAACTCGACAGACGGAAGGTAAATGCCTTAGAAGTCAGGGTAACTGTAAGATAGTTCAGAATGGCTGGCAACAGGGGTGCATGGGACTCAGAAGACCTGGGTTCTAGTGCTGTCTTAGTTAGTCAGTGCCACTGTAATCCTGGCCAAGCAGCTCTTTGCGTGGTTTTTCATCTGTCAGATGAAGATAAGGGTCCTTCCTATGTCAAAGAACAGTGTGATACCAGACGGAAAGAGAACACTTTGCAAAGTCCATGTGGTATGCGAAGCAGTAGGATTTTCCCCAAACTATTGAACATGGTAAGTTATTTTAAAAGTATGATATTTGGGGGGCCTGGGTGGCGCAGTCGGTTGAGCGTCCTGACTTCAGCCAGGTCACGTCAGGCCTGCCTCGCGCAGCTAGCCGCCGAGCCGCGGCTCTGGCTGATGGCCAGAGCCTGGAGGCCTGACGGCATCTCTGTGTCTCCCTCTCTCTCTGCCCCTCCCCCATTCACGCTCTGTCTCTCTCTGTCCCCAAAATAAATAAACATTGAAAAAAAAAAATTAAAAAGTATGATATTTGAAGAACTCTGCAGTTGGTCCTTCTTTCAATCACACAGATAATTGTGCCACTTTTTGCTAGTAGGTTTGCACACGTCTGCCTTCTTAGAAGACAGCAATCTTGCAAGCAGCGTCCAAAGTGGGTACAGCCTAGAGACAGGGATGAAAGATGAACTCCTTTATCTCTTATCCAGTCTTAGTCTTTTCGACTGCGTTTTACCCACCATACTTATCTTCTTCGTGCAAGCTTCATTTTCTTCTGTTCTGTCTCTGCTCCCCTCTGCTCCTGGCTTTCTTTTTCCCTTTAGTACCTTTCTCTTAGACTGGGGAAATGCAGGGGGAAATGCTGGGCTCTGTAGATTCAAGCACCGTCATCTGGATGTTTATGGAGCATATGTTGTACATTCACAGAACACAACGCTAGTTAGTTCCGTACTGAGACCACACGATCGGCCACATGGTTCTGTGCATCCCACCAGTTTCTTTGCTATGGAATGGGAAACCCGTGTTTACAGCACTGTTCTAGAGTCAGAGGCCTTATATCTAAATATAGACTCAGTCTGAATTATGAGTTCTTAATCTCTTTTTATATTTACTTCTAGGGCAGGAGCGGTTTGGCAACATGACCCGAGTATACTACAAAGAAGCTGTTGGTGCTTTTGTAGTCTTTGATATATCGAGAGGTTCCACGTTTGAGGCCGTCTTAAAATGGAAAAGTGATCTGGATAGTAAAGTCCATCTTCCAAATGGCAGCCCTATTCCTGCTGTCCTCTTAGCTAACAAATGTGACCAGAAAAAGGATGGTGGCCAGAATCCTTCCCAGTTGGACCAGTTCTGCAAAGAACATGGTTTCACTGGATGGTTTGAAACCTCAGCAAAGGTGAGGTCTGCTTCGTGTTTGTATCTGCTCTGCTCTTAAGTCCTAAATCTGAACTATAGCTATAAAACATTTAGACAGGTTTATGTGAGTGGGTTTTGGGAGCCTAATAAAAAGCAAAACATAGCATGGATATGTAATAGTTTCCTTCAGTGGGCAGCAGAAATGCTTTCAAAATTGGCTAGTGGGGAGGTGACTAGAAGGGCAGGTTTTCCATCAGAGTAAAAATTAGCTGTTACTTAGAATAAAGAACAATGACATTCTCTGAGTTTGAGCCTTTAAATGGAGCACTTCTGCAACTGGAGTTTATGGGGGATTTAGGGATCTTGTCAAGCACAAGGATTTTTTAATTTTTACTGAAGGCTTGACAAAACATAGGGACAGAGATGACCCTGGCGAATATGTGGGTCACGTGCAGTACTAACAAAAATGGACCAGAAACTGTCAGAGCGACAATGTATTCAGGTGATGTTTGAAGAGTTTCAGATTAATTGTGTATGAAAGAATTTGAACAAGAGGCAAGCGTCAACATTTGTGACATGCTTCTTCATGAATAGTGGAGTGAGAATTCTTTCTTTCACCGATTATGGGATAAATATTTTTTGAAGAAAAACAAAAACACTTAAGTCGGCTGTTAAAAATCGTACCAGTCTAGATACACAAGAGAGCAAAGGTGAAATTCACAGGCACAAAGTATTGGTGGGGAGAGAACTTGTTTATGCACATTGGGAATTTCACATAAGAGGTCAAATAACAATTGGACTTACATAAGAATGGTGAAATGTTTGAGAAATTCTCAATGACAAACAAAATCCGAAACCAGAAGACTGGCATATCTTAACACAGTCTCAGCATTTGGAATGCCTTCTGTGGATTTCTTGCAGATGTTTTTTTGTTTTTTGTTTTTAAAAGAATTTTTCCTCTTAGGTAACAAATGTGACCGGATTTATCTACTGGTCTGAGTACCTGCTTACCACTAGGTTACTTTTAGCTTTACCAGAAACCCACCCTCATCGCAGAAGACCATTGGGTGCCACCGGCAATCAGAATAATGAAAGGAAAGCTATTGAGTGATGTTGGGGTCATCAGCAGAACTAGTGTCTGCTGGAGGCAGAGGTTTTTACTCCTAAGCTAAAGGCTATCTGTTGAAAGAAAGACATTCCAGAATCTTAAAATTTCGTTTCATGAGTAAAAAGTAGCAGCAGAAGAAAGCTGCAGTGCAGGGGTGGGTGTGGCAAGAGCACTTAGCCAGGCAGGACGGAGGAAATGGCAGAAGGGGGAGGCTGCTCCTGGAGACCCTTGTCCTGGAACCTGTCCCCCTTCCTGCAGCGTGTCCATCGGGTAATTTGCTTTATTTCCCAGCTTTGTTGGGAAATAATTAGTGGTATGTGTAATGTTTACTAGAGCATGAGATTTGTTGGAAGAGATGGCACGTATTACAGATAAAATTTCTTCTCTAAGTTTTATGTGAATTAATCACTCAGGTAATAAATCCAAATTTGTCCCCAGAGTCTAGATGGGAGATTCACAAATGATAGTGTCATGTGGCCTGCAGCTTGAGACTGTGCAAGTCATCAGCTTTGTTAAATTTATAGACAGCGTTACATGTGGAGGTGAGAAGGGACACACTGGTTAGCAGTAGAAGTGTCAGATATGTTCTGTGCTTTCCTACAAATATATTAGCAACACCTTCTGCAGAATTTCCTTAGTAGTAAACCAGGAATGGCCCAAGAGAATAACAGTAGCATAAAATTTAGGTTAAAAATTTTAGGCAAGCCTTAAAAGTACTGCCCACATGTCACTAATGTCTGTATTTCTGAGCCGGCCGGCGCTAACTTCACATCTGATTCCTGCTTGAATCCCAGTGATCTGAATTTTAATGGGAACACAGCCAAAAGACAGTTTTGAACTTGTGAACTTCATCTTTTCACCTTTATGACAAACAATGGATTTGTAGTATGAAAATGTGTGACTAATTACAATATGGGAATTTCTGTTCCTAGTCAATTGCTGCTAAATGCAGTTAGAGAGCATTGTAGTTCTTTGGGATAATGGGAAGGGTGGGGGCCGAGTGACATTTAGACATTTGGAGATCAGTACTTTAATTAAAGAAAACTTGTGTTGATGCTGGAAAAGATACCTGAATAAATAGCACAGGTCTTACAGGTTTCTCACTGTCTGAGAAAATTATAGCAAATAAGGAAGAAAACTGGAATGAACCTCATGTTGTTAGACTGAAATTGGAGAGATCAGTATGAGCTTAATGTTTCATATGTACATATAAATATATATATATATGTTTGTGTATATATGTGTTTGTATATATACACATTTGCATAAACAGAGAGATAAATGTAGAAATAGATGTCTACAGGTCTGTGGATATATATATATATATATTTATTACCTCTCTCTGCTCAGAGGGCTTAGGAGCAATGATACCACAGATCCAGAGGGCTTAGGAGCAATGATACCACAGATCCAGTGAGCTTACTGGTCCCCAGAATTTGTTTTTTAAATACTGTTCTCCTGTAAAAAGAACAGGGGTTTTGTGGAGAAATGATTGATTCCAGGACTAGTGGGACAAATAAAGATGCGCCAGAGATATTTTGCGGAGCCAGAAACTAAGGGAGCACAAAATGATGGAGACGTGTCAAAAAGAAACAGAACCGTACTTACAGAAGCTCCAAAAATGTAACACAGTTTGAGGAATGAAGTAAATAACTATTGTAATGGATCTAATCTGTGGAATAAAATAATAATCCATGACATGAATAAACCAATTAATAAGTAAGGGAGAAGAGAAAACTTTTCTTGACGGTAGAATTCTAACTAATATATGTAGAAGGAATGATGGAAATAGAAAGTCACCTTTAATCACCATGGTAGTAAATGTTTCAGGGAGAAATTAATTAATGATAAAGTTAATGGGTAAAACTGGTAAAAAAAAAAAAAACAAATCAGGTGATTTATATATTGGAACTTACTAAGGGCAAAGGATAAATAGTAATTGTTCAGTGGAGAAGCCTGGCAGACGTGACTCTAAGCAAGTGCCTCCTTGTACACCGAGAAGGACACATCCCTTCTTCTGCCAATAATGCATAACTTGAGTTTAATGATACGAAACACCAAACAAGCCCAGACTAAGGGATATTTTCTGGCCGGTACTCTACAAGCGTGTCAAAGTCGTGGAAGGGAAGGTGACTGAAAAACTGTCCCAGGTTAAAGGAGACCAAGGAGACATGAGCACGAAATACAGCTGGTCACCTGGATGGCAAATAGGACATTGGGACGATGGTAAAATTTGAATAAGGCTCATAATTAATGCCCACACTATTATCTGATTTCCTGGTTTTATCTGAAAATCTGGATTTCCAAGCTGTTAATATTTTAGGAAGATGAGTGAAGGGTATGTAGGAATTTTTACTATTTTTGCAATGGTTTTGTAAACCTGAAATTATTTAAAAATGAAGTTAAGTACTTAAATAAAATAAGCCCAGATTTTGCTCTGTGTTGTTACTCGTGTAGTGAGTGACAGCTAATAAATCTGTCGCACAAATGTTGTGATAGCTTGTGACTCATTAGAATATTTTTAATGGCCGTTGCACCCACCACATTGTTTCAGGTTAATTTACACATGACAATTAAAAGTAATAATCTGCACTCAGAGATGGGGGACGACATAATGCGTTTATTTTAATGTGGTATGAGCCCGTTGACATTCTTCTTTATAATGTGTCCTGAACAATTGACTTAGATGTTCTAGGGCGGAAGGTTTTCATCTTAGTGCCTTCATTTATGCGAGTGGGAACCCATTGTGGGAATGAAGATTCCTTTTCAACCATTGAGATAGTTCATTGAATCTCAGCGGCAAGAAGTTTGAAACAGGAGCATCAGAAAGGGCGATGATTTGTGAAAAGAAAAGAGTTCCCTAGCCACATTATACTCAATGGCATTAAACTGTTAGGGTTTAACCCTTTAGTACGGGAGAAGAAGACGGTAGCTCGTGTGTTATAATGTCCCCTCTGACAAACTCGGCTAGTCCCGTTAATACTCTTAATGCTTACTTCCAAGCATTAATCTGAAGAATTCATCGTGTTCGTCATTTCTGCATTACAGGATAATATAAACATAGATGAAGCCGCCCGGTTCCTAGTGGAGAATATTCTCGCAAACCACCAAAGCTTTCCTAGTGAAGAAAACAACGAGGACAAAATTAAACTGGATCAGGAGACCTTGAGAGCAGAGGGCAAGTCCCAATGTTGCTGACATGGCTTCTGCTTCTGGCCTGTGTGCAGAGTGCAGCCTGACCGGGCTGGATCCAAGCCCGAGAATGGATAAGGGGGCGGCTGTGCTGCTCTGTGAATCTTCACAGGGCTGCACTTCAGACGAATGCTCCAGTTTTTCTTCAGGTTGTGTAGATCTTTCTCCTTGTACAGAATGGCCGTGGTGGCACCCCCAGGGAGCCTACGCTGACACGGGGCGTGTGGTAAAGTGGTTCTGCCCGCGACCCCACACTTTAACGCAGGCACACTTAGGCCTCTAGGGTGGTCACCGTGAATTCAGGATAATGTTTACGTCCTCTTTAACATTTTTTAAAAATGATGGTCCTCAGGATTTGGTAAGATTTTCAAGTTGTGCCTTTTAGTGGAAGCACTGGGATGGTCATGAAACCTGACCTGAGGTCTTCCAGTAATTTTATGGGCCTGTGTTTTTATCTCCACATTACGTTCTCTCCAGGGAGGCTGTCATCTCTGTTAGTCACAGAATGCTGTTTTGCAGTTCTTTTCCTACTTAAAACTTTGATACTTCTATAAAATTGTTATCATCACACATTATGTCATTAGTCCTGGCCAGCGTGGTGTGCCCTTGCTAACAACGCAGGTGCACTGGTGTCCTGGCTTCTGGTTGCTGCCAGTTGGAAACAATATAAATGAACATTCCTGCTTTCCTCTTCCTCCCGTGTGTTTATTTTTGTACCTGAGAGCCTGGCTGCTATTGCTGTTGGAGTTCTCTCTAACTGGAGCTAGTCTTTTCAAATCTGTATTAGTAACGGTAACAGAGAAGCTACTTGAAAGCATATACAGTTAAATCTGAGATTCTCTAAGTATGAATTGTGAAGGAAACTAGGTCATGCGTAGTTTGTATGTAAAGTTTTGGACATTTAAAGTAAAACACATGAGAAACTTAGGACAGCCTCGTAATATTTGTATTACCATTTAACCCAGTTAAGGAAAAGAATAAATATTATGACTGAAACCTCTTTTGTTTTCTTTAACTAATGTGGTTCTAGAAAGGTAAATGGGGTATACTTTTCCGCCTTAGAAAACTTCGTGTCTGCTCACATTTTCCTGTTGTTTTTAAGGGAGTTGATACCTTCTGAAAGGTCCAACTTACTTTTCAAAGGAATTTTAAAGGTGTTTGGCCATAATCCAATGCTA